TGAGCAAGAGCCTGAATTCTCGCGATTCTGCTTTATCCACGCTGAATATTTTATTCTAAATTCCACAGGATATGACAAGTGACACACTTAGCATAATTCTTTAGTCAACAACCTGAGTCTGTACAACCATTGGGACGAATTCTTCAAGTATCTTTGTAATAACCCTGAACTAAATAACAGCATATTTGCAGCGCAAAAACGTCTATTCGCGTTATCGCAAAACTAATAGTTTGTCGAACAGTGAAATCGTAATCTTATTGCCTCAGGAATTCAACAAAGGCTACCCATCCCTACTCTAAGACCCTTCATAAACGATGTGTACTGAACTCTATGATCCTCAGTAGTTGTAAAGCCGATCAACGTTTTTTGGAAGTCCGTAATCGGATTATTGTATCGTAATTATTGGGAGTCAGACTTGACCATTTTATTAGACTTTGAGGTTGGGTGGGAGCGTCTTTTGAACACGCTCTTAGTGAAATACGATCTGTCTGTCTGTTTGTGTTATGAAATTTTCAAATTACAATTTACACAGATATTTGATATTTTGCCGGCTTATCAAATATCATCGTTGATAATGAGAAATTGAAATTGTTTGCGGTACAAGTTTTCCAGTGTAACGGAATTCAATGCTTATTCAATTTAATTTAATTATGTTGTAGAACGACGGGATGCCTAAACAAATTGTTATTAGGGTCAAACAGTCTAATTAATTAGTTTAGGCCAGGGATGGGCAAAGCATGGCTCGCGGCCATTTTGACTTACACATACTTACATACGACGAGTAATCGATCCTGAACTAAATGCTATCATGTACTATAAAATATAATATCATACACCTATATGAGACTTAACAATTTTGGCAACTTAGCTGTTTACAAAATTAGTTATATTACAGTTAAAAAAGAAGTGTAATACGAGATTCAGTGGCTATATCGGACAATGGCGAAATGGTCAATGGCACTTGTGATATTGTGACCTGATGGAAAAAGGAAAGTCCACCCCTGGTATAGGCCCTCGCCTCTTCATCGCCATGCGAACTCATTTGTCCGCCCTGGTGACTCATCGGAAAGCCAAGGGTGACTTACATAATTTATGGACGCAACAGATGACCGTAACAAAATGGACACTTGTGTGACCGAACTCTTGGTGAAATGTACATTTTCTATAACGGGGCGGCTCAAACTTAATGTGCGTAAGTTACTTACCTTTTCTCCTGCAAATCCTATCGTTCGATCAGATAAAGCTTTAGATTTCACGCTCGCAGAACAATCGATACGGTAGAAACGTTTTGTTCCCCAGACAAAGCGCTTTAGATTCAACGTGACTTATCGAGTAACGTAATGCGTTGTTAAGAGATATAGCAATAATCCCCACTAATGCCCTGGGGTTGTCGCCCTCGTTTTTTCCAATATGTGCCGTTATGGCACCGAAGTCGAGGGTGCATTCTCTAGTGCAGGGGCAATAATCCCCTGTAACGTGACGTCGCATGTCCTAGCTCCTTGTCCCCAAAGGAGTTGCGTAATTTTATTTCGTCCCGCTGTGAGTCGTTTGGGATAAGATCCTACGATACCAATATTTGAAATGGCTTTTTATTTATTCCGCGTTATAATCTTGCCACATTAAATTATTGTCTATGATGGAGTATTATTAATCATCTACGCTCTATACTCTAGGGTATTGCTTTATTAGATATGGTTTCTAGATCAGTGGATGGTGCTGGCTGCTGGCAGCATTCATTAGCTTGTCAGGTTACAGGATCATAGATCACGCGTAATGGGTACATAATTCGCGTCTAGCGCTCTCTGCTGACACCGTCCGACTGCGGCCAAGATGCGGGTAGATCTCGAGAGCCGATAAGACGTGGGTAGTTGGAAGTTTTATGGAGCGGCCGGTAGCACAGCCTGTTTTCCCGTTATCGCCGACAGGGGGCTTTAAATCAGGCGTCTTTTATTCTTAAAGGCTTTAAGCCTGACGGTATTCGACGATCCACACGCCTCAGGGACCGATATAAGGGTAGATCTTTGGTAAGTGGCCCCTTCTGTTTTAACGCTGAAAAAGTTTTTGCTTAAAAAGCTGTTGAGTGTTTGTGGCATCGTAAATGCCTGGTTTGTACGTTAGATTAATGATAGAGTTGCATGTTTTCAAAGTTGTAAACTGAACTAACTAGGAATAAAGTCGTTAAGCTGTCTACCAGGAACGGTTGGCGTGGTAGGCTTTAGGAAACAATATTTAACTCATGCCCTGCCTACTGCACTAGTTACTAGCTTGCAGCACTAATTTATCCTTTTCTCATTGTAAGCCTGTCTTATTTACCCTCTAGCGAGTAACGGGAGTCAGTACCAACTATGAAAATATTCTGACGGTGTTTTTATTTAATACTTTACTGTCATCGCGCAAATTGACTTTTAATGCAGAACTGAAATAGAGAGTTGAATCACATGCAGTTTAGTTGCCAAGCTTGGCTCGAACCTTACTTTGGGTCCGATAATACACAATTTAGTGCATCCCGTTAAATCTGCTGCCATAACTGGCACCTAAACATAATTAGTAACTCCTTCCGAGCTTTTGAGGGGACCCTAATTGACACTGACATATTTCGCTGAGGGAATTTGTTATGAGATATTTACATAGCGAGTAAATTCTGAAGTGAAAAAATGTTCAAAGAAAATTACAAGCTAGAACAAAGAGAATTACGATACAATCAGACGAGAATTCTTCGATTGCGAGTGTATTTTATTTGTTTTGACAATTTCCCGCCTAGAGGTCAATTTGGGACTTTCGATTACAAGGCTCGGTACTTTGAACGAAGAGAATTATGTTGAGAAACTTAATCTGATTTACGAAATTGGATTTATTTTATTTTACTGAGTAAAATGTTGGAGTATTATCTTTAATTCTTATTCGTCTACCATTATTAAATCTATTGCCAATTCAAAATGTCATGCATAATATAATATTTATCTGGGGACACGGCAGTGCCCCCACCAAGTCGAGCAAAAAAGCGGCACGGCCGTACCATCCTTTTCTCGATTTTCGGCCATTTTCGACCGCCTGTAACTTCGTTGTGGATAAAACTAGAAGGCTGAATTTTTATTAGCTATGCAGGCATTGTAAAGACACGGTATATTTAAAATTTCATTCAATTTGAACCAGTTGTTTAAGAATTATAACGGGTCAAAGTTACTTAATTTTGTCACTCACTGACTCACTGACTCACCGATCATCAAAATTCTAACCATAGAACAACTGAGTTGCAAGACTTGGTTTTTTTGACAAGTATTGTTTTTGATGGGATTCAAATGTTCCATTACATAACAACGATAAGTACCTATTGATGATTTTCATCAAAATCAGATTTCTTGTTTTTGAGGTTGATCATTTCAATAAAGCACTCTTCCATACTAATAACATTTGTCTTTTATCTCAATATATTATGGATGTTTGTCTAATAAAATTATTTACGGTCCCATAAACTTATAGGTCATGTTTACCAGAATGAAATCACGAAAAGTACTTCAAAATCGTTGGAAATCGGAATAATCCTCTATCTTATTCCCTAGAGCCGAGGCAGTAATTCAAATCAAGGGGATAAGCGGGTCCCGCTGGGGTTTCTCAGATTTTTGCTGAGCTGGATTATAATAATGGTGACTTAAATCAAACTGACCTACGTGCGATAGAGATCTTATTTACGAACAAAGTTGGGTCCGCAATAAATCATGACTTACGATTATAAAAGGACGTTTCTAGTTTCATAGACGATATTTAAGAAGCGATATTTCCTTTTGTTACAAATGATATGCGTAAAAATCTTAAGCAACAAACACCCCATTTCGTGGAAGAATAATAAATGCATGTTGACATTTAATAAAAGCTTGTTATGTTCTTTATTAGCCTGTATCGTTTATCGTTTGATGAAGCATTCAATAAAATCTGTGTAGTAATTAGCAGTGGACGTCATTTAGTTGAAACGAACGGACGAAGACAGTCTACCAAAAAGCCTTAATTGAGTAAACTAATTGACCTAATTAAATAATTCTGTGTTTCACTCTCCAGTCTATCTCTCTACAAATTTGGAATTCCATCAGATCCGTTTTAAAAAACATCCGTAATGACAGGCATAAATTAAACAGCTCTGTAGATTCGGATCGAATTCCTAGAACTAAGAACGCCGAGTGCGGATCAGCTATAAATTATGTCATGTTCATTCTCGTCTTACGCTGAAATGGAGTTTAGAAAGTCGTTGTTTTGTGAAAGGATCTAAAACTATCTAAGACAGTTTTATAATTTTATTGGCGTTAGCAGTTATAACGTTCAGAAAAGGTTTCAATTTGGAAGAATAACCTTAAATTAGATTAGTCGTTTGCTGAAAATTATACTTTTTCTTCTATTGTATTAAGACAGTGGTAGAAATGATCAAAATCTTCCACCCCCCATCTCTGGGCGTCCATAGAGCTTCTTACCGCAGATTAGTTCGCCTGCGGGTGTAGAGTTACAAATCTCGCAGATAGGTCCCACATGGTAACGACCACGCCGTAAATCTACGCGCCGCGCCTACGGGAATCTTCTTAACGCTTATAAATCTCTAGAACTCAGTGAAAATTTCTAGCCCCTGTTGGTGATGATATAAATCATATTTAGAAATCCGAACTCCATTGGCTTGTGAATAAGAAAGAAATATTTCCTGCAGTTCGTTTGGAAATGGGAATATAAATAAGAGAAAAATTGGGACTTCCTTATCCTACTCGGGAACATCTATTGTTTTGTTTTAACCTTCCTTTAGATTAGAAATATGCATTTGCTGTAGTCCTTTGTCCTATACTATTATCGTTTAGTCCCATAAATCGTATGGCATAAACCACTTTATTATTGTACGAAGGAGAAATTTAGTCAAAAAACATTCCCGATGCGGACGTGATGTATCGGCAGGCGGAGTCCGCATGTGGGTTTATAGCCGATACACATTCACGGCTCAAGGTTGCCAGCTAACAGAAATATGTAGACTACACATTTATTGAATGATNCTCCCGCTGGTTTTGGGACGATCTTCCGTTTCTAATAGCGCCTGACGGATTTCTATTAGCAATTTTATCGACGTGCGTAGGCGAAACTATTGCGTGTATTTTCTCTGTAGGCGCGACTGTTTCGTGGTGCAATATTCTGTGATGTGTCTTTCTGCACCCATTTACTCTGCATTGAATGCCTGGGCATCTGTGTGCTCTATTCCAGGGACGAAGGCAGCGGTAGCACAGGCGTTTCTGTTTGGCAATGTCCCAGCGTTCACTACTATGGGCTTGTTTCATCTCGCTGCAATCGGTGACGGAGTGGTTGCTCTTGCAAACTGGGCACGACGATCTCTGTACTGTCTTCTGTTCGATGTGGAAGACACGCTGGGTATTCTGTATTTTCCGGTGTGGGTAGCTGTGTTCTCTGTAGATCGGTTCGGGAGCGGCGAACTTGGCACACTTCTCGGCCTCTCGCTCGATGAAGCGGCTGAACTTGATGAGGTCCGGTTCCTCTTCTGTGTGCTCCCAGGCGTAATCGTACCAGCGGTAGCGAAGCGCTGGTGTAAGCTTCTCGGTCAGACTGTGTACTATCTCGGGGTTATACAGGTAGTGTGTCCGTCCAAGTGCGCGAAGAGTCGCTACGCTATTCTTTATTCGAGTAGCGAACACACAAATCTGTTGCGGAGAGTCGGTGAGTCTCTGAAGATTTCTTAGATTTTCTATCTCGGACAGTGCGATCGAGTCCGGTCGGCCAAAGCGCATTTCTAATGTGCGCATAATNAGTTGTTTTTTCTTTTTTCTTTATTATATTCTTTGGTTTCACAATTTTTTTATAGACGTCTATTTTCATTTCTATCATTAATTCTTTTTCGTTTTTGTAAATTTTTGGCGATTCATCTTTTAGTTCTTCGGGTAAATTTGATTTTTCGTCCATATCTTCTTTCTGAGGCATCTCTGTAAAAAGAAATAAACGATGGTTCACAAAAGATTTCAAATAAGATAGTTAAAATAAAATTGAAATAGTAAACTGTAGGATTCTGTAGTTGCCCCTCGATTACCTTACTACAATACAGGGTGTTAGGTAAATGGGTATATGTATGAGCCGATACTAGCCCATGTTAACATGTTTATATAAATGGTATGGTGAAGTCAGAAAATTGATATCTTCATTTTAATTATTTTAAGTTTCATACAAATCGGACTTTATAAAATTTATTTTGTATGAAAATTAAAAAAATGAAAATGATATCAAATTTCTGACTTCACCATACCATTTATATGACCATGTTAACATGGGCTAGTGTCGGCTCATTCGATANTCTCCATACTTAGAACTGAAACCCAAAATTTTTTTTTTCATCAAACACGTACGTCTGGGCTATCTATGGATAGGTCTTCAAAAATGATATCGAGGTTTCTAAAATATTTTTTTTTAAACGGAATAGTTTGCGTGACAGACGCTTCAAAGTGGAAAAAAGTTGGTCCCCCCCCCCTCAAACTTCTAAAATAAGAAAATGAAAAATCTAAAAAATACATATGGTGTACATTACTATAAAAACTACCAACGAAAATTTTTTTTAACGAGATCTAGTAAGTAGTTTTTTTTAATACCTCGTAAATCGTAAACCGCTTATTAACGCGTAATCTTTCATACAAATAACTTAAATTAAAAAAAAATCATAAATTAATGGTACGGAACCCTTTGTGCGTGAGTCCGACACGCACTTGGCCGGTTTTTTTTATCATTCAAGCATAAAACCGGGGTATTATTTATTAAAAACGACGAGTGAAAAAAGTATGACTGATGATTTTAATAACTCTACATCACATTAAAACGAATGTTTCTATGCCTGAACAGTGAACTATATTATAGCCTGACCAGGAACATAAAAACCCTCGCCATGTTGCGGAAAACTAATGGTACTAATTTCTTTTAATGGCAACAGTAACTGAAAACGTCATTGACATGTCACCTTGCATGTCAGTCTATTGTTGTCAAAGTGTAAACAAACTTTATTTTAAATGTTTGCAATTGATTTTGTAAATTAAATTGCTAAAATATTTTTATAGTCGTGAAAGAAAAGTTTTTCACGATGTGTTAATGTATTTGTCGAAGAGAAATACTAAGGGTTCGGACAATATTTTCATTGAATAATGTTTCCGACAAAGGTTGTCAAATTGACTGACATGTTTATCGTATAGTACAGTCCACTATGAAAATTAGCTGTAGTCTGTTTCAACTACTTATTTTAATGTTATTTGTCACTTTCTAAGTTTTGAATTTTATGGAATTGGGAAAGAAGTATCGAGTTTGAAGCGTTCATGAGCAGACATTGCAGTTGAATATTCAAGTTCTGAATTTGATTATTGATGAATAATAAAATAAATCCTACTAGCTCGATTGATGGTTTCAATTAATTTATTTAAACCAGGTTACCTTTAATAATATTTTTCGTTAATTTATGAAAATGTCAAATTAGCCCGTAATCCTGAATCCTGATACATAAATTTAGCCTATTAATTTAACACATGTAGGACTGTACTCAGTGTTGCATTATCAAATGCAATTGAAGCGCCTCTATGCCAGGGTTTTTATGTTCCTGGTCAGGCTATATAGGTNTATTCATAAGGGTATACACCTTTGCGCCTTAATAACTCAAACTGATTTTTTTCAGAAAAAAAACGCGATAAATGTGTAAAATCATGTGTGTTTAAATTAGAAACCAGTTTTTCTAGGCTTGTCCCTAAAAATTTGAACGAGTCAACAAATCGAACTGCCATGTAATGATTATCATCTGTTGTAAAAAACTTAGTGAACGATATATAATTTTCTTTAGTTTTNTTGTCGGTAAAAACGTCCTGGTGACGTCACTTAAGCATTTTTCTTATACTGCGTGCGGTCGTTGCGCGTGCGCACAAAGGAATGAGACCGCTCGGACACCGAGCCCACAGCGTGGTAGGGGTGGGGTTGCCCGCTCTTTTGTTTTTTAATACTACTACGCTGAATATTGTGTGCGGATTGGGTTGTCGTACAGGGGTACTACATGGTAAAATAAATCTCGGAGGCGAAAGCAGGATAATAAATATAATCGGTGCGATGCTGGTTAGATTATTGGTCAGATTTATCCATATCATAAGAATAGTTTTTGCAGTTGATCAAGCATATCACCTAGTTTGTCATAGCCCTCACAGTGGAAGAAAGTTTATAATAACTATTCAATCATTATGTCAGTCAGTAAATGAGTTTTTCGGTGTTTCCGATCACTACCAACTCTGTATCAATTTACTTTCAAAACCATAGTCCCATTATACAGAAATATTTGCTTGCTTTTCACGTGAACAGCCCTGAAACGCTTTTATGGCGTTTTTTGTACGGGGAAACATGTGTTGATAGTATTAAATAAGAAAAAGCTGTACTTACGTGTGGGTGGCACCTGCGTCTCATAGATAGTTTCACAGGGGTATCGCTTCATTTTGCTTGGGACAATTCTCCCTTGATGGAAATTTATAATAAACGGGAAAAAAACCAATAGTTACTTTCCACTGTTGTATTAGGCAAATAACTAATAGAGTTGCAAATGTATGCCAAAATTCACAAAAGAGGTGAAGATAGGTACTAAGAAATGATCAAAAGCAAACTAAACATTTTAGATAAAACGTCGCGTCAACTCGAACTGGCAGCCGAAGTCGTTTATTTAATTTAATGCAATTCGTTTCAACACTCTCCCAGGCTACGAAAATATTTTCAAAATAAGCACGTCACTTTAAATTAGGTGGGTGACAAAAACACTCGACCTTCCCTTTTAGTTTCCAGATGTCGCGAGTAATCTGACACCAGTTTTTATAAGATCACTCGTCGTTTTTCGACTTTATGGCCGTTTTAAAACGGTTGAATAACAGACAATACTAATTGAAAGGTATGCTTTGCTGTCCTCTCCAAACAATGTTCCATTATGTTGTTTTTTCTTATCGCACTTGCGTTGAGGAAGGTCAGTACCCGCTCGTCACATGTTGTGATCATTAAAGAGTACATCGCAGTGTCGTAATTTGAGAAAGTTGAAATCTCTTAACTTGTTAAAGTGTGTCGTTTATTACTAGTGGAAATAACTTAATAAAATATACCTAAGTCATTGTTACTTAGAAATGCAATTCATCTATAGGTACCAAGAAATACACTGTTGTACATACATTAACGATATTTTAACGCATGCGTAAGTTATCTTTAAATAGTAATGTTGACATCGCTTGATTAAAAACACTGGAAATTAAGTAGTGTCATTGAAATAAGATTTAGTTCATGTATAAAAGAACACTTTCAAAATTTAGTTTTGCATTAAAATAATTAATAATTCGGTCAAGTTGGCTCCAATAAACGGTAGTCTAAAAACCGAATACATATTTCCATAAATACATCGTATTCACAGATCATAAAGTATGACTTATAGATGTTTTCTTAGATATTTAGTTTACAGTATTGCAAAAAGACCTTCCTAAAAGTAGTCCACATTGAAAAATAATATCATCGAACTTTATTGTAGCAAAGTCGTTAAACTTATCATAGCTTGCCTTGGTCGTGTTTTTGCGATAAACGCAAATCTCCGGCGAGTTGTGGCAACCGCACATACAGCCTTGATGCGCTGCGCAAGAGTCGAATTGGTTCATTTCGATCAGACATGTCTTAATGTAACCTTCCCATACGGTGGTATCTACCGTATTGGTCTATCAGACCGACAAATTACGTAAAACAGAATGCAAAGGATTTGGGCTACATTTACTTGTTGCATAATTTTCTTACATACTCCAAAGTTTATTCATAGAACAATCAATGTTTTCTCACAGCCCCAGGCTCACAGCACAGGCCGAAATTTAAGACTAAGCTGTAAGCTAAATAATAATATGATTTTGATGATCATGATCGCGAAGTCGTTTACAGGATTATCTGAACGCTTTATCAATATCTTTTCCAACTTTGTATGTGTAATCTGAGATCACCAATTCAGCAGCTAGACGTAACAAATCATCCTTCAAATTGCACCTTTTAAAGTCATGACCACCATTATGGGCTATAATTATTTTGAAACACACTTATTAGGCACGAAGTAACATATTGTTTTCTTCCTAAGATTCTCGTAGTTATTATTTAGTAGACGTGTGTGTGACCTGTTCTTTTCTAAGAAACTATTCGCCCTAAGCGTTCTTTCTCGGAATATAAAATGAACGCCAAGATCGAAACACGCTGGCCAAATTGAATTTGGCGCGGTAATAACAAGTTACGACGGTCTCTCCATTGACTGTTCCACATCTCTCTGTCAGTGGTTCCCAAAGTTGTTTAGGCTACGACCCATCTAATACAAATTCTGAAACTCGGGATCCACCTATAGGAAATTTCGCCCGCTGCCCAGCGGTTGGATCGTGGTGTTTCGTTCTACTGGCAGAGCCCACTCAATGTTCGTTCGCGACCCACCACTGGGTCGCGCGCGACCCATAGTTTGGGAAACTCTGCTCTATATACTTTCCTTACTTAACTCCTATTTTATAGGTACACATGCATGTAAATGTGTTGCCTCATCGTGTTAGGTCATAACTGTTGACTTTACAAGTAAATAGTCAACGTCAACTTATATTGAATCAATAATCGCATTGAACTTCCTCAACTCATCAGGTCAGTCTCTTCAGCAGACTTGCCTTCACTTCCCATGCCTTAGAATGAAACTTGTCTATGTGGACTTTGCTCGCATGGATATCGGCTTTTCACTGAAAGT